GTTGGCACAGACATCTCATGTGTCTGTACTAAGAGTCGAGTCTCGAATACTCTGCACGGGCACCGAAGGTAAAGTACAGCTCAGTAAACAGTTCGGGCGTAAACGCCGAATTGCAAGTCCCAGCCCCCACCCCTGATAAATCCCACCGACCTCCACTAGTCATTAAACGCCAGCTTGGCTGACTTCCAACAGTGGTCAGTATGAGAGAGCGTACAGAGCAACAGAGGCGGCGGTCCTGCCAAGGTTTTCCCGATTTTCCCTGTCCGCCAGGGCTCGAGTCTCTCTCAACACAGTGTTGGGGAGGGAGGGCAAGATAGGGAGAGAGGGCGGCTTGCATCTAACTCGCTGCAGTCTTCGCCCTGGACGGTATCATGCAGAGCTGCACTGCCCACCCGATCCGTCGGACTGGGCCTCTTCTGCTCTTCGGTCATGCCGAGATCTCTCGACGGATTCTAGTGGCCGCTGCCAACTGTCTGAGCTGAGCAAGAACGGCACTCTCAACCCCTCCCTACAACTCCATCCAGCCACCCCGACTCCCATCCTTATCTGCAAGGCAAAAGCAAGAAAGGCTGGCGGCAGGCGGGGGCTGCGGCGTGCAGCCGCATGAGCGCCTGGCTGGCGGCCGCGCGGACCGACGGACACTCGGGGGTCCGGTGCCACACGCGACGGGTGTGTGGTTAGCGACGGACTACGCTCACCGGGCCCCCTGCCGCTGCCCCGCACGGGCCGAGGCGTGGAAACGTGCCAACGCGTCGGCAGCTGAAACACAGGAGGTCGCACCTCTGTCGAAGGTGCTGGCGGGAGGGGGAGGGGGAGGGGGAGGAGGAGGAGGAGGAGGAGGAGGAGGAGGAGGAGGAGGAGGAGGAGGAGGAGGAGGAGGAGAGGAGGAGGAGGAGGAGGAGGAGGAGGAGGAAGGAGGAGGAGGAGGGAGGGAGGCGGCGGCGGCGGGCGGCGGAGGGGGGGGGGGGGGGAGGAGGGAGGAGGAGGAGGAGGAGGAGGAGGAGGAGGAGGAGGAGGAGGAGGAGGAGGAGGAGGAGGAGGAGGAGGAGGAGGAGGAGGAGGAGGAGGAGGAAACACACGGAAAAGAAATGGACGGGCGCCCTCAGTTTCTCAGGCAGGGGCGTCGCGAACAAAAATACGACGGGAAATCGTGGTAAAACGTGCATTTTCAGCATTTCCAACTTGTCAGCCTTCACGGCGTTGAAAATGCTCCGCTTCCACGAACTCCTCATTGTAGCCCACACTCTGCTCCGCATTCTTCCTCCTCCTCCTCCTCCTCCTCCTCCTCCTCCTCCTCCTCCTCCTCCTCCTCCTCCTCCTCCTCCTCCTCCTCCTCCTCCTCCTCCTCCTCCTCCTCCTCCTCCTCCTCCTCCTCCTCCTCCTCCTCCTCCTCCTCCTCCTCCTGCGGCGCGTGGGGCCTGGCGGCAGTTTGGGCGGCGTTGGCGCCGAAGGCGCGCCCGGTGTGTGCAGCTGCTGACCACGCTGAGCAGTGGCCGCGGATCACCATCGCCAGCTTCAACCGCATCACCATCACCACAGTCGTCGTCATCATCGCCAGCGTCGTCGTCGTCATCGCCATCATCATCACCATCATCACCAGCATCGCCCTCGTCATCATCATCTCGTCGTCGTGATCTGTCCTTCTCCTTTGTATCCCCCTCCCTAACGTCCGTCCTACCACGCATCCCTCTCCAGGTCTTCATGGTATACCAGCCCGGCGGTTGGGGTCACCCCGGAGAGTCGCCAGTCGACGATCATCGAGACACGATGCTCCCAGGGTATCTGATGCGAAGCATGTGGCCGAACGTGTGCGACCCGGCCTCTCTGTGCGACAGCCTCGGGCAGGAGATCGAGGAGCAGGGCGCCCCGAATCACAACAAGTTCCTCGTCCTGCAGTGCGTGATGACCCCCGGCGCCAACGAGATTCTGAAGGGGCTCCTCGGCTGCGGCTTCTTCGACCGGAGCCTCCTCGCGCTCGCCCGCCGCGCGGAGCCCGAGCTCCAGGAGTTCCTGGAGGGCATCCCAGAGAGTTCGCTCGCCCACGGAGCGGTGATCATGCTGGATTGGATCGAAGAGCAGCCTGACCTCATCCAGTGGGTGCTTCAGCGCAACCACGCGTGCCACGCCCCAGCCTGAACGAACCTCGAAGGGAAAAAAACGCCATGAGCATAAACTGTTGGCGTTCCGCGCGGGTTTCTTGGATTCGCGGTGGGTCCCCCCTGGCGGCGCCTCCGGCACCGCCCTTGGCGCGCATCCGCGCGGAGCGCCAAAAGTTTATGTTTATGGCGTTTTTTCTTTTTCTTCTTCTGGAAGTGGCGCTGTCTGCGACGGCGAGCTCTAAGAGCGGGGCCATGCAGCCGGCACGCTCACCGCGCTTGCCAGACAGAAGTGGCGCGCGGGGCTCGGCGGCGGCAGCTCTCTCGCCCTGCGGGTGCAGCACAAGCTTGCACCGCGGGAGCGAGCGGCAGGCATAATGGGCAGTGCTGCGCCGCTGCCCCACGGGTGACGGGCCGCAGTTCTGGTGCCGCCTGTTTTTTGTTTTGCCCTCCCCGCGCTGTCGGCCGAAGAGCTACAGAACAGCCTGTGGGCGGAGCGCGTGTTCTGGGACAGGAAGCTGCACGCAGTTGGGGCCCGACCACAAGAGACCTTCCACAAGAGACCCAACCCTGAGGCCCCGGGACGTCCACTGATTCTTGGTGTGGGAGCGTCAGGCTTTCCATGGCAGAGCCATCGGAACCCAAGAAGCCCAAGGCACCCTGGAAAAAAGCAGGGTGTTTCTTGGCATGGGCCTAAACTGTACGCTTCACGTGGCCGGCCTGGGGAGGGCCGGATACGCGCGTGACCAGTTGTCTTTCCAGCGGTCGGCCCTCGTGGTGTGGCCGCGTACGCAGCGCCCTCGCCGTGCGTATCCAGCGCTCTGCTTCTGCGTGTTCCGCATGGCTTCTGGTTCCCTGGGGCAGCCTCCAGGACTCTTAAGATTTTTGCGGGGGGGGGAGGAGCTGTGAGATCACAGTCCCCCTGCGGCGTTGCCTTTGGAAGGGCCTGGTCCAGCTGGGCTCCTCGTCCGCGGCGGTACCCGTCGACCAGCCAGGGTCGGGTCTTTGCCGCGGAGCGCGCCATGCTCTCGCGAACCACCGCGAGCAGTTGCCTTTGCGCTCTGCTCCCCCCGTCATCCCCTCAGGCGCCATACCCCCTATCCTCCCTCCTCCGTCCTCTGTCTGCCCTGCATCCTTCCCTCCATCTCTACACTTCTCCCACTCCGTCGCCTCTCTGTTCATTCTCCACTTCATCGTCTTCTCCCTGCTCACCCTCCCCTCCTCCTGTCCCTTCCCTTGGGCACCATAAGAGCAGAACCTTCGGGAAGCCCTCAGCATCATCCAGGTCCTCGTCATCCTCCTCTGCATGGCCGACACGGCAAACGATGACGCGAGTTCTGCAGTGCCTTGGCTGACAAGTAACCTCGGCACGATGGGACGTCCATTTGGTCTGCTTCGTCTGGCTACAAAAGCATGGATTGGTCTCGTCGCAAGTTTTTCGGAATCATAACTCTTCCTCGACATCTGCCTCATTCCCCTTCTCCTCCTCATCATCACCCCGTCTCCCCAGGCCCCCAATGTCCCGCCTCCGCCTCCGCCTCCGGGTATTACGCCGCGTACGACGCCCGGGCCCTCAGGGAGAAACCGGGCCTGACCTGGGATCTGACAGGGGGCGAATATTATCTTGGCACATACACAACACAGCCACAAACACCACGGCCCCGAAACACAACAAACAAAACCTACCACCACCACCACCACCACCACCACCGCCACCACCACCACCACCTAACAACACACTTCACAATGATTGCGTGTCAGATATGCGCAGGGGCCACAATCTAATCTGGCACGCGGGCACCATACAAGAAACCCGTCTGGCTGTGGGGCAGGGGTAAATGAGGGGGGGGAAAAGAAAACTGCCCCGGCTGCTAGGGCGTGGGGGCGGCTAGACCTGCGTCAGTAGGCGACAGGCTGGGCACAAGACGGAGCTATAGAACCGTCAGCCGCCCCCGCGGCGTCAGTGTAGGATCGCCGCCAGGCTCGGGTGCAGCCCCCCGAAGACCCCAGACAAAGTGGAAACCGTCAAAATGTCAATTCCTACCCCCCTCATCATACACTCACATTACGTGCGGCATCACTCTGCAACACCACCACTGCACCACGAGACCAAGATAGAGTGGCACCGAGGAGGTGGCCGCACCAGCGGTGGCGCAGGGCGCCTACTTGGTGCATTTTGGCAAACCGACCCCCTAGGTGACACCCAAGCACACGACAACAGGCCCGAAATCAAACTCAGGCGTCGCAGGGTGAAGAACAAACTTATTCAGACGCCTACTTTTGCCAGATCCCCTTACAAAGCACGAAACAGCGACACCCAACACGGACACCGACTTATACCTGAGGGAAACGTAATTAGGGCCTTCTACCGACACATGCGCCGAAACACACGCCACAAACGGCACAGATACCGACGCGCGCTGGCCAGACGAGTCGCCAGTCTGCCCCCCGGAACCCGCGACTGACACTGCGACTGACACCGCAGCCCCAGCCGGAGCCGAAGCCCCCACGGAGGAAAGAGCCGAAGCCCTAACCGCCTCCGCGGCGTGATGATCCCGGGGAGGTTGTGCAATCCCGCCCTCACCACAATCCGGACTGCTTAGAGGATGGCCGACCCGAGCACAATCAACAGGGCCCAGCCACAGCAGCAACGACCAGACCTCTAACGTTAGGCACGCAAGTGGGTACCCCGAATGGGGTTGGGGTTAGCCGCGTCCATTGTCCTCATCCCCTCACCCTGAAACAGCACACCACCAGGAAACCCAAAACCCCAGCGGGGGAGTGGACCGCGGCGAGAACTGTGACCGCAAGGAGAGAGGAGCGGAGAAGGGAGGGAAAGGAGGAGGAGGAGGAAAGCGAGCGAGGGAGAAGGGAAGGAGGGAAAGGCACAGTCCCACCACAGCCTACCCCCCTCACTCAGGGGAGGCACTAAGCCGGGGATGAGGAGGACGCGTTTCCGACGAGCGGCCACGAGGAGGCCTATGCACTTGCTCGTCCCCCCAATGTCCCTCGTCCTCGTCCTCGTCCTCGTCCTCCGCCGAGTCGCCGTCGTACGGCGGGCGGGAGAGGGCCCCATACCAGGGGCCTGGAAAATAAATGCCTTGGTAGACGAGGGAGAATGGACAAAGCGAGGCCCGCAGTGGTGGGGGAGGGGCGGGTGGAGGGAGGGGAGGGGCAAGAGGAGCCAGGGGGGGGAGGGGCGGAAAGAGGGGGGGGGCAGGGGGGGGGCAGGAGCGAGGAGCCAGGGGGGGAGGGGCGGAAAAAAGGGGGGGGGCAGGGGAGGGGCAGGAGGGCGGAGCGGGGGGGCGACGGACGAAGGAGGAGCCGAGGGGACGAGTGCGCCCGCGAACCCCCGCACCCGCAAGGGCCAGACACCCACGAGCGTCTTCGCCGCCACAGTAACCTCGAACGCCCGCCGAGGGGAGGAGCAGGGAAGGGCCCGAGGGGAAGGACGGGCGAAGGAGGAACTGAAGGGGCGAAAACACCCGCGTGCCCACGCACCCACCAGGGCCCGACATCCGCGAGCGTCTTCGTCGCCACGGCAACCTCGAACGCCCGCCGGGGCAGGGGCCGGGAGGGGAGCGGAGGGAGGGGGCAGGCGAAAAGGGGGGGGGAGGGGGGGGGAGGGGGGGGCGAAACTAAGCATCAGCCTGTATAACCAATCCCACCACGTTCCGCTGCGGCGCCGCCGGGGGTGTGGTGAGGCCCCCTCATAATGCGACGCCGGTGGGGTGGGCGCTCAGGCCACCACCGCCCCCGCCCCCGAAGGGGGGGGGTCGGCGCTGCCGGCGGCCGTGGCGTGGACCGCGGCCACCGCGTCAGCAGCGGCTTTGGCCCGCGCCACTGCGGTCGGGGCTGCCGCCGGCGCTGGGGCCACAGAGGACGCCGGGGCGCTGGCGGCGGGCTCGGCCGCGGGCGCGGCGGGCGCTTTGCCCTGGGCCTTGCCCTTACCCTTCCCCTTGGCACCCTTCTTTCCTTTGCCCTTGCCGCCGTTTTTGCCGCCGCGCCCCTTGCTGCTCTTCCCGCCCCTGCCCTTGGGGCCGCCACCGTTGGCTTCCTGGCGCGCGCGCTTGCGCTCCCGCTCCTCCGGCGTCGCCTCGGCGTACGCCAGCCGGCGCTTCGGGGCAGGGGCCCCTTCCGCCCTCGGCGGCGCAGGCCTCCCGCGAACGGGAAGGCCCGCTGCCGTGCGAAGCGGCCCGTCCAAAAAGGACAGCGCCGCCTGCACCGACAGGGACTCCTCGCCGAACCGGAGGGTCAACCGAAAGGTGCCCTCGACTCGGCTCCTGCCGCCGGCCGTGTTCCTCGACTGGTCGAAGACGTGCGCCAGCACGTCCGCGCCGGCCAGGCCGCTGACTATCTGGGAGATAGCCCGCCCCGTGTCGCCCAGCGCCTGGAACTCCTGGGAGTCCTCCTGCGGCAGCGGCCACGGCACCTGGAGGGCCTCACAGAGGTCCTCGCCCACCGCCTTCGGCACTGCCAGGCGGCGCTCCCTCCACAACTGGCTCGGCGCATGTTCTGCCCACGCGCTTTCCACCTTGTCGAACCCCTCAAGGACGACGTGGCAGCTCTTGCGCACCTCGCCCAGGTCCCTCTTTACGCGTTGCAGCCCACCCTCCACCGACGTGACTCTCGCCTCGAGCGCCGCGAACCTCTCGTCCACCGCGGCCCTGCGTGCCGCCATTGCTCCCGGGCAGCGGGAACGGACGCGGACCGACACAAGAGCCTTCCTGACGGGCTCGCGGCGGGCGAATGCGACGAGAAGAGGAGAGTGCCGTGATCCCTGCGTACACACACAACAACGTGCAATGGATGCGTGGCGGGATACTCACGTTGACAGAGACAGAAGCGGGTGGGAGATGGTAGTAATGGTCCAACCCCCAACGACGACAGGAGGAAAAAAGGGGGGGCAGAAAAGAGGCAAGACAGGCAAGAACACCAGGAAAAAGCAGGCGGAGGAGGGGGGGGAGGGAGGGAGGGGAGAAGAAAACGACACCGAACGAGAAAAAAGACAGGGCACGGCTTCGCACAATTGCAAACAAAAAAAAAAACCAACACAGAGCCCCTCATGGGGGCGGCCCTCCTGCTGCCGAGGACCTGGGGGAGGGCGGTGTCGAAGGCCAGGAGACCAACGACGGCACAATGTGGAACCCGAAGGAACCTGTGCCCTCCCCCAGTGCAGGGTAAACCTACACCGGCACGAGGGGCAGCGCGAAAGCTGACCCCTGGGCTGCAGCAGACGCGAAGAGAAACGCCACGAGCCGTGCTTGACAAGAGAAAAAAACCGAAGAACAACGACGGACAGACCATTACTGCCAACGGAAGGAACAGGGGGCGGGGGCGGAGAGCGAATGGGGGGGGGTGGAAGGGCGAATACCCCAACGAAAATCGATGCAACTACGCTCCTGCTTTCGTCAGTCTCCCTACCCGTGCCCCCGCTTCGGGGCAGCTGCCTTTCCCGACTTCGCTTTGGCCCCTCTGCTCGGCCCCGAGCTCTTCGCCCGCCCCCCTGTGCCTAGTTTGGCGGAGGGGCGGCGCTTTACAATGGCACGCTGTAGGGCGCCAAGCCGCCGGGCTGGTGACACTGCCTTCGGCGGCGCCTTGCAACCCGCGGGCGGGTGACCCGGGCCAATTGGACCCGCGCCGAGACGAGGTGGGGGGAGGGGGGGGGCGGGGCACGAAGAAGAGGAAGAGGACGACGGAGGAGGAGGGGGAGGAGCCAGGGGGGGAGGGGGCAGAGGAGAGGGAGGAGGGACCCCGCCGGTCGGCGGAGGTCTCGGCGCGCCCCTACATTTTACCTCGTGATTCCGCATGGGCCTAGACAGCTGTCCCGGCGGGGGCTCGGGAAATAGCTTGCCGCACTTGCCACACGTGCGGTTCGCCAGACGCGATCCTCGGCACTCGCCTTCATGCTGTAGACGGCCCGCCGCGAGGATCAACACCTCGCATTTGCGGCACTTGGTATATCCTTCGGGAAGGACGTGCTCTGTCACAGCGCATCTGCGAACATGCCAAGTGATGTCCTTACTCAAGACCCTCAGGCCGCACTTCTTACAGATGTCCGTCTCAGCATATGATAGATCGCAAACCGCTGGCGGCGGCGCCGACCACCGGCCGGACTGCGCTGAGGCGAAACCCCGCCTTCCTACATCGGCAGCCCGGTCGGCCAGCTCATTGTCATGGGCGCCTGTGTGGCCATATACGTGCTCCCAAGTGATCTGACGGTTCTGACGGACCTCCTGCGTGAGCTCCCGGACGGCTTGGGCCAGTTCTTCGTTGGCGCCCGGTGTCCAGATACCCTGCGCCATATTGGCTGCATATTCCGAGTCGTATCGGATGTGCACCGGGACGCCCCCAGGATCGGGGGCTTCCTCTAACAGCCATTTCATAACCTCGCCTATCGCCGAAAGCTCAGCAGTGTTATTGGTCTCATCGCGTGCCCCTAGCCACCGGTGGTCCCACTGAGCGGTAACGACTGGGGCGTGGAGCACGAAGTCCGGAATCTGACCAGGGGTCTCCGGACCATCGTAGCGAAAAATCACTGCTCCCCACCCCGCTGTTCCATCCTTGCCAGATCCATCTGTGGCAACCCACCAGCCCCGCGGAGGGGCCGGGCAGGGCCCCCGCACAGGGCCCATGACAAAATTGTGGTGTGCTTGGAGTGCCTGACGAAATTCTAACTTAGCTGGACATCGTGGCTTGTGGAGGCGGAGAGCCTCATTGAAAACCATCTTTTGCAATCTGGGCACTGGTGTGACGCCCATGTGACGAGAGACGGGTCTCGTACAGAGTGTTCATTGTCGTAATGACATGACAACTGATTCCCCGCCGTGAACTGTTGTGAACAAGCTGGGCACGCGTATACCCGGCCCTCTGGAGGCGGACCCCCTCCCTGAGGGGGAGGAGAAGGGGGAGGAGGAGGAGGAGGAGGAGGAGGAGGAGGAGGAGGAGGAGGAAAAGGAGGAGGAGGGGGAGGAGGAGGATCCGCTTCCGGGAGCGCCAGGCCTGGTCTCCACGCACGCAACAGCGCCCGTCGGTTCACGTCACGGCCTTGCGTGGGGAATGCCTTGTTGATGGAGCTCTGCCAGCCCTTCCGGGACTGGGCCCGGCGAAACCAGTCCATTTCGTCAAACGTGAGCTTTCGGATGCACCTTCGGAGCCACGGGATCTGACCGTTCGGATTCGTGTGCTCCTCGACTCCTCCACCGCGGCTGGATATAAAACCGAAGAGGACCTGCTTGGGGGCGCGCCACGTTGGCATCCGAGCGACGTGCCCCAGCCACTGCAGGGACAGCTTGGCGACCTGATCCTCGACGGTCCTCCATTTGGCCGCGGCGTGCATTGCGGCATCTGTCACGTGGTGCTCCCCTATATTCCACACATCCATGCCGAACGCTCGCCTGACCGCATAGTTTGCCACTCTCTGGAGCTTGCGAAGCTCCTCCTTTGTCCACCCCCGAGAACGACAGCTGTAAAGCAAACAGCCCACAACGCAAGATTCGAGCACCTGTAATCTCGTGGGGATGTCTACACCACTGGTCGTGCCCCGGCCGTGTGCGGTGCCCACGGCCCAGCCTTTTGCGATGGCTTGAACAAGCAGGCGGGCGGTCGACGCTCGCCGGGCTGTGTCGGCGCTCCGAATACCAGTTTCCATATGTATGGCTCCAATATGTTTCAGCTGGCTAACTCGAACTCCCTTCTCACGTCATAGGGCATGCGTGGATCCTTTGGAAATCGTAACTCTTTAGTTTTTCCCCGATTAACCCTCTCCTCCCAATCCTTCATTGTTTCGATGAGGACGGGGCGGGCTACTTGCATCTCAGAGTCAAACCCCACAATGGCGGTGTCATCTGCAAACCCCACGTCGCCGATGACGACCCGACGAAATCCCAGGTCCTTAGGATGGTCGGATACTTGCGACTGTAATCGGTTCCGCGCTTTCTTCTGCAATCGGCCATCTACCTGGTACGTAATCTCGAGTCCTGGGGCACGCCCTAATGCCTCAGCCGCGCGTTTGCGGCGGGCTCTGTAATCCGTCATCACCGCGTCGTGATACACATTGAAGAGGGGAGGGGAGGACGGATCCCCCTCCCTGAGTCCTCTTTCGGGGGTCCAGGGGTCCGACAGACCACCTAGCACCCGGACCCGACACTCGGTGTGGTTGTGTAGGGCTTTGCAGACTCTGAGCGTGCCATCGGGGCACCCTCTGCGCGCTAATAAGGTCCACAGAGCAGGCCGGCAAACGCGGGGGTAGGCTCGTTCAATGTCGAAGAAATCGAAAACCACAGCTTCCTCATTCCGGAGGGCTGCGGCCTCCTCCACCAGGCGGCGGGTGATTTGTAAAGCGTCGTCAGTGCCCCGGCCGCGCCGGAATCCCGACTGCGACTCTCCCATCCAAGGCTCGGACCACACACTTATGCGAGACGCTACCACCCGCGCAAACAATTTGGACCCGACGGACAGCAGGGTAATACCCCGCACGTGTTCTTGTCCTTTCGGGCCCCCTTCTGCTTCCAGAGTGGAATAACCAACGCTTCTCGCCACTCGCGGGGCCAAGCAGCCGCTTCCTCTCCGTCCTTTGCGGTCACCGCGCAATTCCACATTTTCCTGGCGAGATCGAATACCGCCGCGCGGAGCGCCGCACCTCCATATTTTAGCGCTTCCGACACAAATCCGTCCCCCCCCGGTTGTCGCCCTGTCTTCATTTTAGTCACACTTTGGTCTAGTTCGATGTCGTTGGGTGGCTCTGCGAGCCACCGTTCGGCGGTGGAAGCCAGGGGGATGTTTTGCCACACGTGGTCGGCAACCGCCCCAATCGTACCAGAAATCTGCGCAAAATGTTTGCGCCATGCTTCTCTTTCTTTGTCAACATTTTCTGTCGACACGACACCAGAATCCCGACGATCATGGCGCCGATTCTTGAGCTCACCGAACAGTCGGAAGAGCTCTGATTGATCTCCTATCCTGGCGGCTGCAGACGCTTGCGCGCCGATGTCGGTCCAATACTCTCGCTCCCACCGCCTTAAGGTACGACGCCGTTCCCGGGCTACTCTACGACGTTCCGCGAGGGCCGCAGGGGCCCCGGCGTCGTCTGAAAGGGCGTAAGCTACCCTGGCGCGCTCCATGTCCTCGTCGACGCTCCTCTTTTCCTCTTCATGGCCCCGTAACCAGGGCACTTGCGCCCTGGCTTGACGCTTTCCCCATACCTGTAATCCCGCTGCACGAGCGATGTCGCACAGTTCCTTCCACCCCAAAGGGGCCGGAAGATTCAGCAGCATATCCGTCAAGACCTGCCCGTAGTGAGCCCGGGCCTCTTTAGCCGCCGGGGATGACCCCCGCATCGCCGAGTAGTTGGGGACCGCTGGGCGGCTGTCGGTGTGACGGCCACGAAACAACCATCTACCGCTCACGGTAATTCCCACTTCCACCGGCTCGTGGTCCGTATACGCGGACCAAGCCACGATTCCGTCCTCTCGGACGTGCCACACGTCGTCCGAGCGACGGCGTTTTCGGCGTTTTGCCCTCCTTTCCCCCTGCAACCCCCCAGGGCCGTAGTGCAAGGTGCGCGCGTATCGAAGCTGACTACGGTCTCTCGGTCGGACCATCACGTGGTCTAGCTGGTGCCAAGACCGATACCGTGGGTGGAGCCAGGTGCCGGGCAGCCTCTGGGCGAACGCCGTGCTTGCTACGAACAACGCCTCTTCCTGACAGAACGCCAGGAGGTCCACACCCGTTGCCGTCCGACGACGCTCCCCGTGGACCCCCAAAGCCGCTCGTTCATCGACGTCTTGCGGCCTTCCCACCTCAGCGTTCCAATCGCCACCCACCACGAGGAGATTATCTGCTCCCCTGCTCCGTGTCTCCACCCAGCGGACCTCGTCGTAGAAGCGCTCTCGCGCCTCTGATTGTTGAGATCCTGACACCGGTGCGTACACGCACAGAAAGGACAGCCCTCGCCGAAAACCTTTGCGAGGAAAAATCAATCCCATGCACCTGGTGCTTTTACGCTCGTGCCCACCTCGCACTACAACCTTGCCCCCCCCTCCCTCCAGACCCGTGCTAGCTTCGCGTTCAAAACTATCCCCACGCGGCCGCGGATGATCAGAGTCCACTTCTGCCCTCTGCAGATATACTCCCGCACGCCATTGTGAGCAAAGGCCAGATCACTGAGCAGACCATACGACCACCCACGGACCGCCAGGAGGGACAGGATACACTGGATCTTCATCTCTGGGTCCCCCACCCCCCGAAAGCCCCCACCTTACGAGTGTTCCAAGTGCCCCCAACGAGGGTCTGAGCGCGGGGGCGTCTCTGCTTGCGCAAAATGGATAGGCGATGCATTGCCTGAGACCTTTTTCGCAATCTACGCTCCTTTTTGCGAGCCTCGCGAGCCGTCCTCCGACGCTCGCGTCTCTGCGCCCTCCTATGGGACCTACGTACTCTCTTGGTGGCCCTCAAATTCCTGTCCCGCGGGTGACTGTGGGGGCGGCCACCCCGACTGACCATGGCCAGAGCCACCGTCAGCCGACACAGCCGCCCCTCCCCCCAGATACCCTGCCGGCTCGCCGGGGCCAGTGGCGTAGCCGGGATCCCCATTCCCCCTGGCAGCCGAGGAAGGTCCGGAGACCCAACCGCCTCTACCGCCTGATGGTGGGGGTGGGGGGTGTGAAGTCCCGCCCCCAAACGAGTTCCCCGAAGACTCCGGGGACGGCTGAGCCGAGAACGAACCGAGAGACCCACCGCCAGAGACCGACAGCCCGTCCCCCACCAGAGATCCAGAGGGGGCGCCCCCTGAGGGGCGTGGGTTAGCCGGTTCCTCGTCCATGGCCCCAGCACCCCTCAACCAAAGCAGGAAACACAATCCGAAGACCCATGGATTTACTTTCCCCCCAGTTTTACACCTGGACCCATCACCGAGAGAAAACTCAGAGGGGGGGGGAAGGGAACCGTTACCCGCCGACCGCCCGTCCCGGGAGGGGATCCCGGGCTCACTTGGAGGGCCCTTCACCTGGTCGGCCCCCCAATGTCCTTCCCCTCTCCTCCCCACCACATCGTCCATCACCCTTTCCACCTCCTTCCACAGTGGCTTCTTCTTTCCGTCTCCGTCTTCCTCCCTCTCTCCACCCCCAACCCCACCCACCCGCTTACCCCACCTTCGTGTGGCTCATCTCTCCATTTCGGACCCATCTTCCCTCCTCTCCCTCTCATTCCCAGCGATCAGAGTCCTCCTCCTCCTCCTCCTCCTCCTCCTCCTCCTCCTCCTCCTCCTCCTCCGCCATCCTCCTTATCATCATCCTGCCTCCTATTTCTACTCCTCTTCCTCCTCCTCAGCATCATTCTCAGCATCATTATCATCAGTAGCATCATCATCATCAGCATCATCATCGACATCGTCGTCATCATTATCGCCTTCACCGTCACCATCATCATCATCACCACCACCATCAGCATCAGGATTACAATCATCATCCTCATCATCATCATCATCATCATCATCATCATCATCATCATCATCATCATCATCATCATCATGCCGTCGTCCCCTCTCCTCTCTCCTCATCGTCATCCTACTCTGTCTCCCCATCTATGTTACATCCTCCCTCTTAGTTTCCCCCTCTCCCCTCATCTTCCTCCTAGGGGGTAATCGTCGCCCTCCTCCCCCCGCATCCTCCATGGACATCGAACATCACTGTTGTCATTCGTCCTCTGCCTTCTCCCCCTCCTGCCAGGGGGCTCTCGCCTCAGCGTGGTGGAGGTGTACGACCCCGAATCTTGCTCGTGGGCATCACTGCCGCCAATGCCCACTCAGAGGAGCGGCTGCGCCGCCATCGATGATGAGGATGAGCAGACAGGGTGTTCCAGAAAGGAAATAGCCTTCGAGGGATCGAGGGGTTAACATATATTTCCCGGAAGAAGCTGGCGGAAGTAAAGAATACCCCATCTAGAGATGACAACGTTTGCTTGCTTTGATTTCCCACAGCAAGCCATCCAACGCGTTCCAGGCATGGTTTCGTCTTTCAGAAAACCGAGCAATGTTGTTTCTCATCTGACGGAAGGCGCGAAAGTTCAATGAGGGCAGCTCTGGCGGCGGAAGTCGGCGGAAAAAGAAAGAAGCCTCGGCGGCTCAAAGGATCCTCGGCAGCCAAGGGGGGTCGCACGTCCCCCCCTTGGCTGCGACCCACGCGCTCGCCCCGCCAGTTCTGCCATGGGCGATGCCTGTGGCACAGCTTGGCGCTGAGCGTCGCTACGAAGCCAGCGAGGTGAGCGTTCGGAGGGTGCCCGACCTCCGAGGACGGCGCGCAGGCGCCCCACGACGACAAGCGCAGGCTGGAAGCAGGGCCCATGGGCGGCAAACGGGCCTGGAGACGTGCAGCGAGGCTCGCGATGGTGGCGGGCTGCAGTTGGTATCGAGTCCAGTTGCTGACGCGCCCCACGGCTGCCTACGATTCTAAGCATGCTGTGACGTCGTTCCCGATGGTCACCGACGCTTCCCCGAGCCCACGGCGACCACCCAGACCCAGACCACGAAGACCGAGACCAGCCCACATCATGAAGGCATGGAGCTACAACACATAATCACTGATATGCATCGACCGCCTGGGAGAATTGCTAAGACGCGCAAGTGAACACCAGATCGCTATAGTATGCTTTCGAAGTACTCGCATGGGAGCCACCATGTTTTGGACCAGCGCTGGCTTTCGCGTCTACCCAACCCCGAGGACACCGTCACGTGCTGAGGACGGATGCTTGACGGCGCTGAACCTGCACGTTCTCGACCCGCTGAAGGTCCGATGCGTCCACGAATGGCTACCAGGCAGGCTCCTGGGAACACGCGTTTGACGAACAGGAACTTTCGAGCGAGACCTCTAAATTTTGAACGGCTACACGCCGACCAACACAGCGAGCACTCATTTGGCGGCAGCTGACAAAGACCGAGTGCAAGCCGACCACAGACAAGCACAGGCCCGTTTTGGGCAGACTTGTGACGACAGCTTACGGAGAGTACCCCAGAGATCAGCATTGATTCGGTGCCTAGATGCTAGTGGTATTGCGGCGCCCGAGATTCCGAACGTTGGCAATGCGGGCGTTGACAGACAACCGGGAACCACAATCTTGACCGGCAGCCACTTCCTTTCCATCCTTCAGAATATCGGGATGACAGCGTTGAACACTTATGGCGGTCGAAAGAAGAAGGTGGGGACTTGGCTGCACACATGACGGCCCGACATGGAACCAGATTGACTACCTATGCACCAAATTGCAAGGAGGCTACGGACATGGAGCTCGAGTTTTACATTCTCTGCCCATTCGCATGGGAGGATTCCGCGACCACCGCCCCATCGAGGCCACAATATCATTAAAAACTCGATGCAAGCGGCTTCGGCCACGACCTTATGTTCCAAGATCTCAAAGTTGTTCAGCATTCCGACGATACACCAGCACGGGTGCAAGATTTTCGCAGACGGCTCCGCCAAGAACTATAAGCCCGTGCTATCGAAGGACACTGGCAGCAGGAGTGTGGCATCAACCAACGCTATACCTCGACATCCAGCCTTTACAATTCTATGGAGGGAGCAGGTGTTGACGCAGCTTGCCCGCTCTATGTTGATTCCCCAAAGTTGACCCCACAGAAGAACCTCACTGACGCTACCTTCGATATGAGTAAACGCAAGTAGTACTTTCAGAGAACGCATCGTCGACCACAGCTCGTGGCTATACAAATCTATACGATCGCAGTTTCGGCTGGCGACAAAGCGGACAAACCAGGCAGTGCGATCGGAGAAGCGACAGCACATTGCGGCCCTGGTTGCGGACGCTGAGCGGGCCGATGCAGTACATGATATCCGACGCTGCTACTCGATCGTCAAGCGCCTCGCGCCTAGGCCCCGCATGCCCATGCTGACCGTCCGCAGCCCAGCCACGGGCTACCCGCGCTTCGACGATGACGAGGACCAACAGGTCCGCACCGTTGCCCTCTGCGCCATCTTTGCGGCCACTGAGCTGCCCATGCATGAGGATGGATGCCCTCGGGACATCTCCGAGGAGCCCGACGTGGAACTCGTAGGCCAGCACGACGTGGATGATATTACTACGGCCCTCAGCAGGCTCCCCAGCTTGAAGAGCGCCCCCGCGTTGAAGTGGACTGACCCCGTCGACCCCCCATGGGCTTCGACAGAATCCCGAAGGTGCTGTAGCTGAACTCTGGAAGTTAGGAGGTGATCTTGTAGGGGGCCCTCTTCTTGGGGTCTTTCAGGCCGCCCAAGCTTTCCGCCGCGTTCCACAGAGGCCTAAAAATGGGGATACGGTTTCACCACGAAAAAAAATAAAAGGGGATGGGAGGAATGCCAAGGATCACCACAGGACGATCAATCTTATTGGCCACGTCGGAAAAGCTTTCGCCAACGTGGTCATCATGCCTGAACTGCGCGCAATGTCAGGCTGGCTCTCTGCCACTCAGTTTGGGACCCTTCACGGCCGATCGACACGAGACGCCATTGCCCTTGTCGACGAGATCGGCCGTCGCTTTCCAGAGAACCCTTGTCGCACCAAGACCAACTATCGCATCCTGGTTGCAGCATTGATCGACCTCGAGAAGGCCTTCGACCTCCTGACTCGAAGTCATGTTTGGGGGGGCCCTAGATAAGCTGGCGCTCTCCCGTGGCACCCGTCTGGCTACAGAAGATCTCTGCAACGGGACCTGCTATATCCTCCGAGATGCCCGAACTAACAGACCTGTAGGCAACTACTTATACGCAAAGGAGTACGGCTAGGCAGTGTAGAGGGGCCAGGGCTTTTTATCGCTATCTACGACCTCATCACTCAGGACATCGGTTCCAAGGCGTTGAAGGATGGCTTCCATGGCGTCCAGGTGCAGTACGACCCCCAGTCCAGGTCTTCTGGAATTCGGTCGTTTTCATGGCTATCGAGTTGAGGTTGTTAGATGCGCCCCAGGTCAAGTTCGTGGATGATTTAATCGCACGGACGGTGGTCGGCGACTTAGCGACCGTCTCCGAGTTCCCAGAGTTTCTGGGGACCAACGTCAATGCCAACGGCTTAACCATGAATGCCCCGAAAACCGAGCTGATGGTGAGTGTTGCGGGGAAGGGGTGCCGGACGGTAAGGAGGAAAATCAGCACTAAGCAGATTGGCATTAGTTTGACCCACGCTGGCGGCCAGGTTCGCGCGATCCACCCGACGCCGACTGTAAAGTACCTTGGCTGCTTGCTTTCGGCGAAGGGCTCGTGCTCGGCCGAGGTCAAGGCCCGCCTGACTTCCGCCAACCAAGCCCACGGCCAGCTGATCCAAAAGGTGCTGGCGGGGAACCTCAGCGCGCGTTTAAAGATACGCTTGTGGAATTCACTAGCACGGCCCATCGCCCTTCACGCACCAGGGGCTGCCTTCCTCGCGGAGACGGATTTGAAGAAACTCGAATGCTGGCAAACCAAGAAGCTTCGACATATTCTTCTTTCCCCCGCTCACCTTCACCACATCTCTAATGCAGATATCCAACGTCGTGCCAAAATCAATAGCATGAGTTCTACTTTATTTTATCGCAGGCCGCAGCGGTGGCGACATGCGGTTGCTCCTGGGTTCCAACCAGAACCCTTAGAGCATGACCCCACCGAGGCTGCACGGGCTGTACTTTTCGGCAGACAATCGTTCGAGGACCCCCACAGTCGAAATCAGAATTGTCGATTAGGGCAGTTTATCGCAGATCTTCGTGCGTTGTGGGCCTGTCTTCCTGCGGAGAGCCAGCGCACTCCGAGTGATTCGCCGAGTGGTTCACGAGATTGGCTGGAGTGGCTGGACATGCTCTCACACGCAGAGCTCAAGGCCGTCCTCTCGCACGAAGCTGAGAGCGACCAACTCCGCGAAGCTGGAGACGCCGATGAAGCACATCGCCTCGTCTGCCCAGACTGTGGAAAAAGATGTCATGGCGAGAAAGGATTAGGGAATCACAGGTTTGCGGCCCATGGCGCTGCGGCGAATCGCATGGATATCCCCGAAGACGACTTGAGAGCTAAGAGATGCCCCTTCTGCAGTGCTACGTTTTCTCGTAAGGATGTCCTCCTTCGCCATGTCCAACACCGTTGCCTTCGGCGCGTTGGCTCTCAGCACGCTCCAGGGCCACCTGCGGCGCCACCGCCGCCGCCGCCCCCCTCGGCACCTCCTCCAGATGTTCGAGCCTGCGGCGGACATCATCAAGAAGGGGGACGCGGCCAAGGCCGAGGCCGTCGAGGGCGGAGCCGAGCCCGAGGAAGCGGAGCCAGGTTGGCATCTCGAAGGGGGACAAGCTCGTGACGAAATTGCTGCTCCAGCGCGAGGATAATTTCAGGGGCTCGGCGCGCGACAAGAACGCGGTAGTGAAGCTGAAGACAGGCTCCCAGATGCAGCTGGCGCTCGCGGCGGGCATCCAGAACTACCAGAAGGTCGGGAGGGACGCGCGCGCCGCGGTCGAGCCCATCGAGCATCGCGGCCACCCACACGGGAAGAAACCCGACGCGTACCTCCGCATTTTGCTATTCCGCTTGAGTGAGGCGATCGAGGGCAGGATCGAGGACGTTCTCGCAGCAGTGGCCCAAGGGCCGCACCCAGCCGAGTCGAAGGAGGCGCTGCGCCTGGCGGTCGAATTCGGCAAGAGTTTGAACGACAAGGAAGCGAAGCTCAAAGCGACCCGCTGCTTCGACGTTCAGACGAAGACAGACGTCGACGGCAAGACAGTGGAAGAAACCAAGTGGATACTCGCGGCTATGTCGCATCCTCCACTCATGCAGGCTATGTACCACCTGAGGGGGACGGCGGCCTGCAGTCGGTGAACGCGGTGCTCGAGGACGACTCCGCCCCGAGGAGCAAGGCCGCGAAGGAGCTCGAGAGGACGGTGTTCAAGGGCGGCGGCGGCGGCGGCACGAAGGACTCCAAACGGTCCAAGAAGAAGTGAGCGCCTCTGCTGAGGTCTGCAGAGAGCCCCGTGGGTTAGATCGGTTTCTCCGGTCTGGGACTTTTTGGGCCCTTGGAACGGTGGTGGGCCCATGTAGTATTGGGCTTCGCGTGAGAATGAGGAAGCTAAGTAAATTTTGGGTCGAGGGCCTGCCGTGGGACTAGAGGGCTCTGCAGCGGCCGCTCTCGAAGTGCCATCCTCTTAGAGGAGGGGGTGCTCGGGGGCGGGACCTGGTGGGCGGTGGGCCAACGCTCCTTGGCTTCTCGCCTCTGCGCTCCCTTCAGGCCCCAGCAAATTCGTTCTCGGGTGAATTATGCTGCGCCGAGGTTTCTGTAGTTTTTGATTGGGCTCGTCGCAAGACATCCAGAGTGACACTTAGAGGGCGTAGCGTTGTTAAGCAAAAAATGGCCCCAATGAGATGACTAGGTTTGTGAATGCGGGGGTTCGGGAGCGACCTGGATGCTTGATGGCGGCAACTACTGGACTGAGCTAGGACCAGCTCCACCGACCCGTCTCGATCATAAGATCCAGCGTCCTAGGACGCCAAAAGTTACATCATCGGCCGAGATGGCGTTCGTCACGCTGAGGGCCACGGCCCAGTCTTAGTTTGCACTTGTGCTCACGTGACTGCGGTTCGCTCGATGACAGCACTCGTCTGCAATCTCTGCGGCCGTGGCCGCCGAGGGGAGGGTCAAAGCGAGGGAGTAAAATGTCTGGAGGACTGTCCATTGGCAATTGGCCCAAGTGGTGCAAGCCGCTGTCTAGCGGCGAATGACAACACAAGCCTGCAGCGCTGCTGATTGCCATCGCCCAGTCAAAACTATCGTGAAGCTTGCAGGGGGGGACGAAAAGAGCTGCAAGACGAGGGCGAAGACGAAGACGAAGCCAGGAATGAGGAGGAGGAGGAGGAGGAGGAGGAGGAGGAGGAGGAGGAGGAGGAGGAGGGCAAGGAGGAGGACGAGGACGAGGACGAGGAGAACGACGAGGAGGACGAGGAGGGAGGGCGAGCAGGAGGGGGAATCGCGGCCACAGCTGCCCAACAGACCCAGACAGCCGGAGGCTCGAACGGTTTTGAGACGTGGGTCACCCCAAGCGGGCGCGAAGAGAGCCGATCGCTCTCCGCGCATCGCGGCCCGGGCGGGAAAGCTGCCCTCCTCGGGGGGGGGGCGGCACGAGGGCGCGATGATGTCCAAGCGTCGTGCATTGCGGGCCGCGATGCGCGAAGTGCGGCGACCTGGACGGGGACCGAGAATCGACCTCCAGAGACCCCGAAAACGATTCAAATCAGGCGATCGCAAACATGGATTAAGGGGCGTGGATTGGCGACGCCCGTTTCCATGGGGAATCGCGGATTTGTGCCGCCGAGCGAGGCGGCACCGGCCACATTTTGTGGAAGGCGCTTCCCCGATCCATGGTTTTGACGACCGCGCGCCGGATCCATGGGTCGCGAGTCCATGTCTGCGCGCCCCCGATCAAAGGTCGCCTCCTCTGTGACCTGCAGAAGTAAGAGCGTCACGGGCACAAGCTTCCCGAGCTCACGCGGACTTCTTGGCTCGGCGTGAGCCGCCCTCGCCAGCGCCGCCCCATCGCCCCTGGCAGGCTCCACGCGGCAGGGAGTGGGGGCCAGCGCCGACCCAAGAAGTCCGCGCAGACTTTCGAAAGGTAAAAAATAAACAAAATAATAAAAATAAAAAAATGAGGCGTTCAAGAAACGGCCTTGCGTTCGAGGGTCGAGGGAGTTGCCATCTCTTCCGCGGCAAGAGGGTGGCGGAAGGTCGGAGGAAGTAAAACGAGGCCGCCTCCGCCGGCGGAAGGCCGGCGGAAGGTGGCGGAAGCAAGAGTCGACCACCCAAGAGATCATGATGTTTTTGGGCTCAGGGTTTCCGAAGTCCGCCACATGGGCATCTGTTCTCCTTCTCGTCGTCCCGAGGCGTCTTGTGGATGGCGTCTCGTCTCCCGAACCCCCCCCCCGCCTGAAACCGACGACGAGCGGCCTCCTCGAAGCGAGAAAACAGGTGCGCAGGGTTTGCCGTTCGAGGCGCGAGGCTTGGGAGGAGGAGGAGGAGGAGGAGGAGGAGGAGGACGACGACGACGACGAGGACGAGGACGAGGACGAGGACGAGGAGGAGGAGGAGAAGGAGAAGAAGGAGAAGAGGAGGTGGAGAACGAAGAGGAGGAGGAGGAGGAGGAGGACGACGACAACGAAGAGGAGGAGGAGGAGGAGGAGGAGGAGGAGGAGGACGACGAAGAGTAGGAGGAAGACGTGGAGGAGGAGCAGGAGGAGGGCGAGGAGGAGTAGGAGGAGGAGAACAACGGCGAGGAGAACGACGACGAGGACGAGGAGAGAGGGCGCGCAGGAGGGGGATCGCCGCCACGACTGAGACCCCCGGACCCAGACGTGCCGGCGGCTCGCACTTCTGCAGCGAGCCGCCGGCACGTCCTCGGAGAGGAGCGGCTGCGCCGCCATCGCGGTGCCGCTCTGAGGGCCGCCGGGCGGCGGCCTGCTCCCTGCGGCCCCGGCCAGCCGCCGGGGGGGCGGGGGCGGCGGGGCCCGCGCGCCGTCGCCGGGCGCCCGCGCCTCGGGGGAGTATGAGAAGCGCTGGCACGCCAAGTTGCGAGGTCGAGAGGAGGAAGGAAGCGAGACGGTGTCCACCACGACGACGACGACGACGACGACGACGACGACGACGACGACGACGATAACGATGACGACGACGATGACGATGACGATGACGATGACGACGACGATGACGATGACGATGACGACGACGATGACGATGACAATGATGATGACGATGACGATGACAATGACGATGACGGTGACGATGACGGTGACGATGACGATGACGATGGTCGGGCGTCTGGAAACATGAAGACGGCCTGCTGTTGGCAAACGGGGCACTTGAGGGGGCCGATCTCGGGACATGCAGGCCGTCAAAAAGCGACTCGGGATGGGAGAAAACGCATCCGATGAAGGGATCGAGAAGTCGGGCCCCCTTGTTGAGGGGAAAGAGAAGAAAGAAACAAAAACAAAAAAAACTGTTAGACAAAAACTGCGAAAAATGGCTCCAGATCTCTGTGTTCCGCGTTGTTGGCCCTCTTGGCACGTTTTCAGCCTCCGGGGGGCTCTTCATCGCTCATCGCCACGGCTGGGTCCGCCTCGGGATGTCTGGCTGGGGAGCACCCCTGGTCGGGTCTGCGGGTCGGCTTTTGACCCCTGGGGCCCGGGCAGGCGGCCGGCTCGACAACACCGAGGCAACCAGTGTGTCGCCATTGGGGTTGGCGGCGCGCGCAACCTGGCACCGCTCGGACGTGTGCAATGTTTTTCGGCGAGGATCATCGAGGAGCATCTTGGATCATCCTGCGAAATAGTACGCGCACGACGTCGAGAAATACACGGGGAATGGACTTCCGAGCGATGCCAAGACAAGGGAGGGGGGGGGCCTCCCAACAGTTATCAAAATGCGG